CCAACTTCCACCAACTGTAACCCAGACGTGCACTCGATGCTTATCATCCCTCTAAATGGTGAGGGGAGTCAGCCGGCCGTCCTGGCGATGTAAACAAAGTGAAGATAGGACTCTGAAAACTCTGAAAACATCACAGACAGTGGGACTCGGGTGTTACACCCATTGTAGACAGTCATGACTCACAGAGTTATTTTCAGAGGAGATACTTGATTTATATTATATTGAAGTGTGAAAAATCACAGATAAAGACTTCAAAGGGAGGGAGGGAGCTCGGAGGTTTAGATGTGAATGAAATCTTATGCATGCATACTTAAAAGTTTGTCCAGGACTAAACACACTGAGAGGTTTGTTTTTTGACGACTTGTTTCATATCAACTGTTGAGAACTATTTAGTGAAATCCCTACACACAGGATGGTACACATATTCCTGTTCATGGTCGGGCTTCTCACCTGTGATGTGATGACCTCTATGGACGCCATGAAGCGGTCAGCGATGATGGACACTCCCAGGAACATGTACATGAGGGACACGAAGTAGACCACGGCTCGGGCCACCTGGTCCCCGAGTCCCTGTCTGTCGGAGACCCAGACGGGCAGCAGGATGCCCGGCTTGCATGTCGGCACCTCCTCACATTTGTTCTTCTTACTCGACATGTTGCTGAAGGCGTAAGACAAGGAGGGCGGGAAGGAGAAGGAGGGGAACATGGAGGGGGAGACGCCCCGCAGGTCGGGGTCGCTGCTGGGCTCGGTGCGTTGGGACTCCGCCTGGCAGTGGGGGAGGGGGAGTAGGAAGACGAAGAGGAGGAGGAGGAAGGGGGCGGGTGAGGCGTGGAGAGACATGGCAGCGTTTGCCTTGTGGGAAGCAGGAGGAGAGGTGAGACAGAGGTGGGAGGGGGGGGGGCGCTGGGTAGAACTGAGGGTGGTGCGAGTCGCTCACCTGCAGGAGAGAGAGAGAGAGAGAGAGAGAGAGAGAGAGAGAGAGAGAGAGAGAGAGAGAGAAACAAATCAGTTTGAGGTTTCTGACCCTAGAAATCCTGACTGCACATCAAACATGTCAGAGCTTTCTTTCAATCTAAACACACATCAGATTCAGCCGACCTCTGGCTCCTTTCCTGCATGTCATTCCCCACTCTCTCTCTCTCTCTCTGATATATGACTCTATCCACTTTCCCATCTCTCCATAAAGGCACAAAAAGCCCCAAAAATAAATGATTTGCTTGCAGCGATCAAACACAAAGTCAAAGCAAAGGCACAAAGCAGACTCGCTGTGCACGGGGAGAACATGTTCACCCGAGTGGAAAATGTTTGTGAACAATCTGCATGTTTCCTGAAGCAGTTTGACTCCTTTTTATGAACGCACAGAGACGGCAGGAATAGAAGGGTTCCTGATCATTTTTTAAATTACAGACTCACATGCAGGAAATGTTATCACATCTCTGCTTAGCAAACAGCTGCAGCCAGCACCTGGAGGACTAAGGCAAATGTAAAATCCACATTTCACACAAACCTTAAGAAACAATAGACATCCTGTGGGGACTCGAGCAGCTCACACATGACGTCACTCATGTATTGAGAAACTCCTCGTTTATGCTCCTAGTTATTTATAAAGGTTTCAACGTTTATTCCAACAAAGAATTCTTGGAATAAAGAGCCGGTGAGAAGCATGATTCACAGAAGATGACGATATCGGATGAAGACCTCGGTGCTCTCCTTTCATGGCAGTGAGGTGAGTCATGGAACATACGACATTAAGAACAAAAGCGAGTACGCTACGAAGAACAAAAGAGAGAGAGAGAGAGAATAAGAAGGACGAGAAAAGAGGGAGAGGAGAGAAGGAGAAAATCTGAAGCAAACCGAGGGAACAGGAAAAGAGAGAATTAGGGATGTACAGTAAATGTTTGTCGGTGGACCTGATGTTTTGCTGTATTTAAAGTCAGATTGTGTTCATCTTCTGTCACATATTTGTCATTTAAGATGATTTTCATTTTATTTTACTCTTTACAACCGAGGTCAATTTTCTTTTGGACATGTTAAAATAAAAGTAACACTGAGTCTGACTTTGGGAATCGAGGATGAAACAGCGGAGAAGGAAAGTGTGAAGGAGAGAGAGAGCAACAACGGAGAGAAGCACAGAGGAGGATAAACAATTGCACACAGATACAATCTTAATTGAGTTCATCAATAATAAAAAAAGGAGACATGGAGGTGAAGTGAAGAAGTTTCAGAAGCGACAAATCATCTCTTGTTGATAAATACTTTCTCAGGCTTCTTTAACATCTCTCTCAGAGAAGAACAATGAAGACCTGAGCTTCTGATTTCTGCAGAAGACGGCATTAAAAAAAGAATTAAAAACTTTATTTAACCAGGAAAAACTTCGTGGGATTAAAATAAATATCTTGGTCCTGGTCGAGACATTCAGCAGCGAACTAAGTTTCTGACAAACAACCAGCAGCGACAAACTGATACTTAATAATACATAAAAAAGACGTGAATTAACAAATCAAACCAGCAAACATCCGCCATAACCAAAAACATATCAGGGAGAACATCAACAATTAGATGTGTCTGCCTCCAAGTCCTTTAACATAATAATAATAATAATAATAATAATATTAAAGTTTATTTATGTCAACAAAGAACAACAACAGCATACTTACAATGAAAGAAGAAGAAAAAAAAATAGTACGTCATGGACGACATTATAAAATCCTGCTGTAACCAGGAACAATAAAACATAGATGAGTAGATACGCTGGGTGGACCTGATTACCCATAGGCCTGTCTAAACATTAACGTTTTTAAAAGACTCAACAGAGTCAGAAAGACGTAGCGAGATGGGTAGAGAATTCCAAATCGGATCGGTGCTATGGACTGAAACGCATGAGTCTTAAAATGTGTCTGCGGGACAGACAGCATGGTGTAGGGTGTTTGACTTTAGTGAACGGGTGGGTGAATACGGGTGAATGAGTTCTGACAGATAATGTGGGGCCTGACCGTGAATGGCTCTGAAGGTGAGAATGAGAAGTTTAAAACTCAATCCTACATGCCACAGGGAGTCAGTGCAGTGTTTTCAGTATCTGAGTGATGTGAGACCGTTTGTTTGACCTGGTGAGTAATCGAGCAGCAGCATTCTGGATTGACTGGAGACGGTTTTAGGGCGGACGTGCTAAGAGAGGTGAAACATCCTCTTAGAAGCATCCAGTGAGAGCAGCTTGTTAAGTTACAGGACTATTTGTAATGCGTTAAGCAGCTTTGTAAAGAAGTATAATGGATAAATAAAAATGTTTAAGTCTATGGAGAGCATCTAACACTTGCATACAACAAACAGTGATAAGTGAGAGTTTAAATAATAGGGGTGACCCTCAGAGCTACAGAGAACGTCCGCTCTGAGAAGAGACGTGCATGTATAAAACATTACTGTAGTCCAGTATGGACATAAAAAAGTGGCAGCAATCAGCATCTTTTCACCTTAAAAAGAAAGGAAAGGATTTGATTCTAAAGTATGAACCCAATTTCAGTCTTTTTACCATCTGCTGAATGTGAGGTGTTAAAGAGTGAGTCATCGATTAAAATACCAAGATATATGTAGCTCCAAACAGACTCGATCTGTGCACCCTCAGAAGTGGAGATGAAAGGCGTTTGAAACAGCACGACTTTCCTTTTGTCCGCATTTCAAACAAGTTTTAAATCATTAAAAAAATGTTGAACAGTGTTAAAAGCAAGTTGTATCTGGCAGAGGGCTTGATCTGGAGTGGATTTTGTAAAGTACATGACCGAGTCGTCAGCGTAAAAAGATACCTTTGAATTAGAAACATTCAGATTTCTGTTATTTAAATACAGAATGATTAGGAGGGGATCCAGGACTGACCCCTGAGGCACACCTTTGGTTACAGCGCAGCCCTCATCCTGATCCACTGAGTTAATCTAACAGACCAAATTCCTTTACTTCGCACTTGGTTGTAAGTGTCTCACACCGACGCAGAGCCAGGAACATCCTGCAGGAAACCGGGGAAAAAACGGAGAAGGAAGGAAAGAAAGAAAAGCAGAAGGAAAGAAGAAAAGAGAAAAGGAGAAGTAATGATGGGAGGAATTTGGCCGAGAGTCAAAGAGAGGAAAAGAAAAAAGGAGAGAAGGGGAAGACAAGCTAACATTAACAGCCTCCAGAACAGGACCTTAGTAAGTTTGTTTATTTCTGTCAAGCAAACCCAGGATGATTCACAGATCCTGCATGAATAATTTTCTCCTTTTTGGCTCCATCCCAGCTGGATCTCTCATGCGTATGTGTGTGTGTGTGTGTTTGTTTGTATTCTTGTGTGTGCCAAATGTTGAGATTTAGACCTCAGTGTGACACCAAAGGATGGACAGATGGACTGAACCTGTTATCGTGTTCATTGGTCCTTAAACGCACCGCTCTCGGCTTCTCTCTCTCTCCATCTGTGAGCGAGTGAGAGAGGAGGGGAACACCTGCTCTGTCCTTCTGTTTCACACACCTCATATCATCATCACACGCTGAAACCCAAAATATTATACAATATCTTTATATCCTTTTTCTCTACACATACATCTCATGTATCTGTGTAGCTGTCAGGATGTGTCAGTTAGATTACACGTCACGTGGGGAATATCACAAAATTAAAAACATAACAAGAGTTTTTGGTCCAAACGTCTTCATTCTGGTGTTCTTTGAGCCTTTTCCATGATTTGTTGATCACAAGATTTGATCAATTTCACTTCAGCTTCAAAACCTTGAGAAATAATGAGACCCTGAGTCCCCAAAAAGAATAAATCTAGTGCGCACAAGTCGATGATCATGTTCCTACAAGTCATTATCTTGTGGCACAAGTTCCCTTCATCCCCTGCCTCAAGTACCCCCCATGGTACCCCCCCCCCCCCCGGTAACCCTCAGCAGGGTGATGGTAACCATGATGAGGTTACAAGGGATTATATCACCTAGTCCTAAAATAGAACCGTGTGCAGAAGGTAGTATCTTGTGCACTGGATAAATGTTTAAATGAGGAGAGAAAGACTCTCTGAAAACCTTGACAGTTGTCAGAAACGTTCACCTGTGTACAAGTTTCATTTATGTAAAGATGAAAACATGAAGAACATATCTGATCCCTTTTTTTAAATGTGGTGTAACAGTAACCACTATTTCGCTTTGAGAGTCCGTTAATGAACACCTCAGGACGTCTCACAGAACATATCCAGAACCATCACAATGCACTGATGTCCCGATCATAAATCAAATGTACACGATGAACCAAGGTCGACCTCTGTTGGATGTTCTCTTTGTCATCAACTGCAAATATTGTTCCATGCACAGCGAGATATTTAGATGCTGTGTGTGCTTTTGTCTTTGTGTAACCAGATGTTTGTTTTTCTGTTTGTTTCAGCAGCTCTGGTGCGCTCCCTGTGTAGCAGCCGCATCTCTCCACTAATGCATGTCCACAGGTTCTGTTTGTGCATGTGTGTATTCAGGGCCTATCGTGCACAAGCATATCAAATAATACACTTTTCAGTGCAGTGCAATGGCGGACAACACGTCCTCAGACTGGAGATTTGTTCATCATACATCTTTAAAAACAGTATCGTAAAAAATTACTTTAAGTTTAAAAATGTATTTTCTTTAAAGAGCTGGTCACCGTAGATTCAAAAACAGTAAAAAATAAAATAAAATAAAAAATAAAAAAAGGAGCACACTCGATTGTAAGCACAGTCTCAGGTGCACAAAAAGAGACAGAAAAGTCAGCACACAAATGTCCTTTAAGTTTAGGACACTTTAAGGAAACTTAAAGGACATTTGTGTGCTGACTTTTCTGTTTCAGTGTAGCTTCAATCACATGTTGCTGTGAGTGTAGGAGTGTGTGTGTGAGAGTCCGATTAGTCAGGGCTCATTATTTTGCTTTTATGTTTTTTTTTTAAATAACTACAGAGCTCA